ACACACACATCACACACACACACACACATCATACACACACAAACACATCACACACACACACACACACACACACACACACACACACACACACACACACACACACACACACACACACACACACACACACACACACACACACACACACACACACACACACACACACACACACACACACACACACACACACATACAAAAAAAACAAAAGACGGCGCCTCAACGTGAAAGGCGTTGTGCACCGGGCGTGGGGACGTCGCGATAGCCAGCCCTCCGCGCCATCATCACGTCGTGGGCCGCGACGTCCGCCATCTCCGCGGCCTGTTCGGGTGGGCCTGTGATCAGCGATCAGCCTCTCGCTTCTCGTCCGCCCCCCCCATTAGAGGCCATGTTGAGGCCGCCTACCTCTTGGGAGCCGTTCGGGGGCCTCTGTTCGGCCTCCTGGGGGTTTCTTGGGGCTGTCTGGGGCCGTGTTGGATGCCTCTTGGGTCGCCTCTCGTCCGCCCGCTCGATTAGAAGCAATGTTGAGGCCACATGCCTCTTGGGGGCCGCTTGGGGACCTCTTCTCGGCCTCCTGGGGGTCTCTTGGTACCCTCTTGGGCCGTCTTGGGTGCCTTTTGGGCGCCTCTGGGGCCGTCTTGGGGTTGTCTTGGGTGCTGCTCTTGGGGCTGTCTTTGGTGCGTCTTGGGCTGCGGGCGCCTCTGGAACCATCCCGGGGCCGTGTGGGGCCGTTTTGGGGCTTTCCTGGGGGCCTCTGGCCGCGTCTTGGGGCGTGCTGGGGGGCCTGTATGGCTGTCTTGGACGCTGTGAGGACGGAAACGCAGGACATAGTGAAAGCGTATGTTTTCCGAAGGGAATGGGACGATGTTGGCCTCTCGGGGCTCTCTTGGGGACCCTCCTGGGCCGTCTTGGGAGCCTCCTGGCCTGCTTTGGGGGCCTGTGGGGCTGTCTTGGAGCTTCCAGGGGTGCTCTGAGGAGGCCGTCTTGGCGCCCGCTCGAGCTCGTCCCGAGGCCGTCTGAAGCCGTTTTTCGGGCATCTGGACCCCCCCCTGAGCAGCTTAGGGGTCGGAACCAGAGACCCTTCTCGCACGCAAAGGTCGCTGCATTGTAAAAGACATGACGTTGGGCTCCAGCTTCGCCTCCCGCATCTCGCTCAGCAGCGAAAGAGCCCGCTGCCACTGCTCGCCGTTCTCGCATGCGCTGATCCCGGCATTGTAGCTGACTAGGGCTGACCCGTGGACTACGTCCACTTGCGGGGTGAAGGGGTGCTGCTGCAAGGCGATCAGGATGAATGGCGTCATGTTCGCCTGCCACACATCGCTGAGCGAGGAGACGGAGGAGCGTCTGGACGCCCCACCTGGGGCGCTCAAGGGCTCCCTTGGGATCGGGTCGGGCTTTGTCGTTGCGTTGGGTCCGACCTTCTCGGGGCGTTCTGGGGGGCCGTCTGGGGGCCCTCTGAGGGGCTCCAAGATCACCAACACGCCTCCAAGATAGCTCCATAATGACCGCCCGCCCAGAATCGGCGGGACCAATTCTGGGCCATCGCGCCGCCGACCCAGAATCCCGTCCGACGCGCCCTGGGCGGCCGCGCGCGCTTCTGAAGCCGGCCGAAGCGACTGGGCCACCAGAAGAGCGAAACACGGCATGGCCCCAAGAAGCTGCGGAGAGGGCTCCAGGCCGACAAAAAGGAGGAGGGATTTTGATGCCAAATCCGGCAGGGAGCGCCAAACAAGCATCAGAGGCCCATGGTGCGCTGGGAGCCGTTTTGGGACCGTCTGTGGCCGTCTTTGGCTGCTGTTGGCTTCGGTGCTTCTTGGGCCGTGATCTCCCCTGGGGGTCGTTTTGGAGCCTCTCAGCGCTTCTTTTCGGCCTCCTGGAAGCCTCCTGGGCTTGGGCTGTCTCGGGTGCCTCTTGGGCCGTGTGGAGGCGGTCCGGGGCCGTCTGAGGGTTGCCTGGGGCCGTCTTGGACGTCTCTGGAGCAGTCTGGGCACCGTCTGGAGGTTGTCTAAGGCCGTCCTGGGCCTCTCTTCAGGCTGTCTTGGGTGCCCCGTGGGCCGCCATGGGAGCCTCAGGAGCCGTCCTAGGGCCATCTTGAGCCTCTGTATGGCCATCTCGGACGCTATGAAGAGGGTAAGTCCAGGAACTGCCAACATGTACGTTTTCCCGAGGGGATGGGACGACTTTTCAGTGTTCGGGTTCTCTTGGGGCTCGTCGTGGAGCACTTGGAGCGTTTTGGAAGCTTCTTGGGCCGCCTGCAGGCCTTCTGAGGCGTCGTCGGGGCCGTCTGGGGGTTGCCTAGGTCCGCCTTGTGCGTCGCTGGAGCAGTCTGGGCACCGTCTGGCGGTCGTCTTGGGCCGTCCTGAGCCGCTCTTGAGGTTGTCTTGGAAACCCCGTGGGCCGCCAGGGGCGCCTCAGGAGCCGTCCTAGGGCCATCTTGGGACGTCTTGGACGCTATGAAGAGGGGAAGCCCAGGAACTGCCAAAATGTACGTTCCACCGAAGGAATGCGACGAGTTTTCAGTGTTCGGACTCTCTTGGGACTCGTCGTGGAGCCCACTTGGAACGTTTTGCAAGCCTCTCAGGCCGCCTGCAGGCCATCTGAGGCGTTGTCGGGGCCGTCTGGGGGTTGCCCGGGTCCGCCTTGGGCGTCTCTGGAGCAGTCTGGGCACCGTCGGGGGGTCGTCTTGGGCCGTCCTGGGCCGCTCTTGAGGCTGTCTTGGGTACCCCGTGGGCCGCCAGGGGCGCCTCAGCAGCCGTCCTGGGGTCGTCGTGGGCGGTCTTGGGGCCTTCATGGGAGCATCTTAGAACGATCTTGGGGGCCTCTATGGCCGTCGTGAACGCGTCGGAAACGAAAAGCACGATAATGCTCAAATGCGCGTTTTCTGAAGGGAATGGGAAGATTTTGGCCTCTGGGGGCTCTCCTGGGAGGTCCTCCAGGGCCGTCTTGGGAGCCTCTGGGGATGTCTTGGGGCCACTTGGGCGCCTCTTGGGCTGCCTTGGGGCCGTCTTGGGCCGTCTTGAGCCGCTCTTGGAGCCCTCTTGGGCTCCTCTTGGGCTGTCGTGGGGCCTCTTGGGCCGTCCGGGGTCTGTCTGGGCCCGCCCGAGAGCGGTTTTGCCACACTGGGTCCCCCGCCATTCTGGCACGCGGCTCCCCCGGCGTTAGAATATAGACTAGGGCTGACCCGTGGACTCCGTCCGCAGTAAGCTGCCACGAAGTGGCAAGTGATTTGCGCTCGCCTCCCACATCGCCCCGTAATGGCGGGCGGGCGGGAGACGCCCCCTCGCGTCGTGAAATAATCGAGGCGGAACATGAGAGGCCTCCCACATGTATTCGCAATGCAGCGGCGACGTCAGCGGTGCTTCGCCGAGGTCTGCGTGAGAAATTCGGGCTCCGAATCGAGCCGCATCGACGATGCATTGGCGGCTCAATCCTCCGACTCCATCTACCCCGATCTCCCCTTGGAAGCCTGAGAACATGTTTGGTAATGTTCAGCCCCTGGGGGCCCTCGCAGGGCCCCCGGACACCGTGAGCAAAGCAGCCTGGGAGGAGAGAACGGTCCGCGGGAAGGGGTCCTGCGGCGTCTTGTGGGCGTTTGGGGGCTACGGGGGGTTCTGTTTGGGCGTCTTGGGTGTCTCTGGGCCGTGTTGGAGCCTTCGGACCGGCGTAGGCGCCTCTTGGGCCGTCGTGGGCCGTCTTGGGCCGCTCCTGGGGCCGTCTTGGGTGCCTCTTGGGCCGTCTTGGGTGCCTCCTGGGCCGTCGCGGGGCCGTCATGGACCGTCGTGGGGCCGTCTCGGGGAACTCTTGGAGCGTCTTGGGGTTCTCTTAGAGGCCTCGTGGACAGTGTTGGAACGACCTCGCAGGGTCCTGGAGCCGTGTTGGGCCGTTCGAGGGGTTAGATGGCAAGAGCCTTCGAATCCTTCAAGCAGCAATGGGAAATCCATGTTTTGGCCGTCTTGGGCCTTGACGGCGAGTCTCCTGGGCCGTGTTGGGAGGCTTCTCGCCTGTCGTCGGGCACTCTTGGGCTGCCCTGGGGCTCGCTGGGGGTCCGCTCGGGCCGTCGGGGCGCTCTCTCTGAGCCGTCTTGGGGCCGTCTGGGGCCATCGAGCCTCCGTGGGGAGGCCCTCCAAGCGCTTCAGTGACTTTTTTCTGGTTGCCTTGTCGAAGCCTGATGGCAGGCGCTGCGATTTCTTTCGGAAATGTTTGGGGGCCTCTCGGGGTTTCTCTTCGGCCTCCTGGGGGCCTCTTGGGGCCCTCTTGGGCCGTCTGGCGGCCTTCTGGGGTACTCTTGGGGCCCTCTTGGGCCGTAGTGGGTGCTTCTTGGGGCCGTCTGGGGCTGTCTTGGGCGCCTGTGGGGCCGTCTTCGGACCGTTTGGAGGCCCTCTTGGGCAATCTGTGGCCGCTCTTGGAGCTGTCTTGACTGCATCTTGGGCTGCAATGATCGCCGCAGGAGCCGTCCTGGGGCCGTCGGGGGCTGTCTGGGGAGCCTCATGGGGGCCTCCTGAAACGTCTTGTGCCGATCTTGGGGGCCCGTGTTATCGTCGTGGAAGCTTTGAAAACGAAAGGCACGATAATTGCGAACATGTACGTTTCCCTTAGGTTTTGGGACGATTTTTGCTTGTGCTGGCTCTCTTGGGCGTCTTCTGGGAGCCCACTTGGAACGCTTTGGGGGCCGTCGTGGGTGCCTCTTGGGGCTGTCTGGGGCCGTCTTGGGCGCCTGTGGGGCAGTCTTGGGACCGTTTGGAGGCACTCTTGGGCCATCTGCGGCCGCTCTTGAGGCTGTCTTGACTGCATCTTGGGCTGCAATGAGCGCCGCAAGAGCCGTCCTGGGGCCGTCGGGGACTGTCTTGTGAGCCTCCTGAGACGTCTTGGGCCGATCTTGGGGGCCCGTGTTGTCGTCGTGGACGCTTTGAACACGAAAAACGTTTCCCTTAGGTTTTTGGGCGATTTTTGCTTGTGCGGGCTCTCTCGGGCGTCTTCTGGGAGCCCACTTGGAACATTGTGGGGGCCGTTGTGGGTGCCTCTTGGGGCTGTCTGGGGCCGTCTTGGGCGCCTGTGGGGCCGTCTTGGGACTGTCTGGATGCCCTCTTGGACCATCTGTGGCCTCTCTTGGGGCTGTCTTGACTGCTTATTGGGCTGTAGTGGGCGCCGCAGAAGCCGTCCTGGGGCCGTCGGGGGCCGTCTTGGGAGCCTCAGGCCTCCTGAGACGTCTTGGGCCGATCTTGGGGTCCTGTGTTGTCGCAGTGGATGCTTTGAAAACGAGAAGCAAAGGAGTTGCGAAAATGAGCGTTTTCCGTAGGTTGTGGGACGATTTTTGCTTGTGCGGGCTCTCTCGGGCGTCTTCTGGGAGCCCACTTGGAGCGTTTTGGGAGGCCTCTTGGACCGTCTGCAGGCTATCTTGAGCGTCTTCGAGCGCTCGTGGACCGTCTCGCAGGCCCTCTTGGACTGTCTCGGGGCCCTCGAGCCTCCGTGGGGAGGCCCTCCGAGACCGTCGCGGAGCGCCCCGGGGCCGCCCGAGGCCGTCGCGGAGCGCCCTGGGGCCGCCCGAGAACGCGCCGGGCCCCGCCGGAGGGCTCTACTGCCATTTAATCTGCTTTGAGTCGCTTTCCTTCCGGCACGCGCTTCCTCCGGCCATATGGTATAGACTTGGGCTGACCCGTGGACTCTGTCCACGACATCTTTTTGGAATGGTTCTCGGAGGAACGACTGAGATTTTGCCGCAAACCTATAAGCACGGCGGCGGCCGGGGCGGCGGCAGCGAGACCGCGCCTTCGCAACACGGTCCGAGACAGCCCCAAGGGTGCTCCAAGGTCGTCCAAGACGGCTCGAAGATGGCCCCATAACGGCCCAAGAAGCCCCCAGGAGGGCTGCAAGAGCGAAACACGTCGGGGCCCCAAGAGGCTCGGGAGAGGGCTTGTGACCGACCAAAAGTAAGATGGATTTTGGGCCAAATCCGGCAGGGAGTGCCAAACAAGCGTCAGGGAGGCCGAAGAGCCTCATGCGGAGCCCAGGCACGGAGTCAGGAACTAGGTCGAGACGGCTCGTGGCACCGTTCACTCTTGGGAGACTTCATCCTCATACTCATCCTCCCCCTCATCATCATCATCATCATCATCATCATCATCATCATCATCATCATCATCATCATCATCATCATCATCATCATCATCATCATCATCATCATCATCATCATCATCATCATCATCATCATCATCATCTTCGTCG